AGGTGTACCGTGCAAGTAGATATATGATAATGAGCTAAAGAACATATTTCACGAACGTTTACCTCTTCATGTTGTTGTTGTTGTTGTTACGGGTTTTTCGTCTTCCTTCACTGACGAAGTCTGTGTTCGGTCGACGTGAGGGGGTAAGTTTCCGCTTACCAGGGCCTCTAAGATTCAAAATATCCTACCCATCCAGGCCACGCTCCAAGGTCGGACAGCTCCCCAGATGCTGGCGCAGCGGCTGTGATCCACGGGACGACGTCCGTAGTGTAGCCCCCGCTGTCCTCCTGTGGTAACCTCTTCAGATGCAATAGTATATCATTAGATGGACACTCTAGAACATCCCGTAATACAGTACATATATATACTGTTACACCTGCTTACCTGTTCAGGTGTAACATTATATATATATGTACTGTATTGTGGGATTTTCTAGAGTGTCCAGCTATTGCTGATGCCTACCTTTTATATACATTCTCAAAAGAAACCTATCCCGTTCAAAGAGAGGGTAAAACGATGACACTTTAGATTGTTATGCATGTTCTAGTGACATGTACATATTTCTGAATACTTATACTGCTTTAATTATTCGTAGAATTAGCATCAATAGGTGTTTTTATGATGTATGAACCTGGAAGGTGTCAAATGGAACCGACTCTTATATCTGAGACCCAAACGAGCCGTCTGTTTCTGTTGCGTATGGTTGTTTGTTACATATTTACAACCCTGTTGGTTGATCCAAGGAGCTATGTCTTTTCTGATGTCACATGGTTACGTGGCGTTTACTTTAAATTATGTAAGCCGTCTCTTTCTCTTTTTACAACCCTGTCAGGTGTCTCAACATGGTTGCGTTTTACAACCCTGCAAGGGTCTCAACATGGTTGCGTTTCGATCCGGCATGGTGTCTCCTGAACCATTTGCCACATAACTGGTTGTTTCTATTGACGATGCCGTGTTCATTCATCATATATACAAAATCCGAGTCCCGTGTATAGACCGGAAGTATCGTAAACCCAGTTCTTGAAATCGAGCGACATGACAGATGCGATAAAAGTTACGAGTTTCATTCATGAAAATGTTGTTGATCGTTATCAGATTTACGGGAGGGGATTGCCGTAGCGTGGCGCTGTTGATGACTGAGGACCCGAACGACGTTTAGCGTGACTGACGTAGTAGACGTCTGTAATAATCGGCTGTCAGTCCGTCCACGATACGCATCTTTCTCATTAATTTATTATCATAAAACTTGGCGTCATTTAAAGGTAACGTTCACATGTTCGTGTTGCTACCAAATTTGAATGGGAAACATGACGGGCAAGTGTTAAACGATACGCGATTCCTACTTAACATTGGAGCCATGCGTGGCACATAAAACGTTCAGCATTATGATCCAACTTCTATTTTATAAACCTTGTTTTGTTGATCCACTTGTAACTTGAGATTTTTCAATTGTATAACATTTAAATGTTTATTGCTTCTTATTGTCTCTGCGAAATTGCACCGACCTAAATTTGGGAAATTGGTTCGTCCGAGTTTCTTTTGGCCCTGACACCAGACTTAGACATTTTGACTGATGGCCCACTATCAGTAACTATCAGTCAAAATGTCAAAGTCTGGTGTCAGGGCCAAAGGAAACTCGTGCTAAAATCCGTCTTCTTTATGCTGCTGCAGTTGAGTGTAAAAATATGTCGGTAGAATACTTCAGACTTGTGTCCATGGGTGATCAAGGATGTAGTTCTAAATAACATCGGCAAGATCATTTGCTGAGTTCGACATCGCAGTGATAATGTCCTTTTATTTACGGACATGGAATATGGGTTAATATAAGGTACAGGGACAGGGTCCTTTGGTGGTCAAGGATATAGTTCAATAATGCAAAGTCATAGTTCGATGTCACAGCGACAAGGTCCTTTACTGATCAGAGACATAGTTCGATGTCACAGCGACAAAGTCCTTTGGTGATCAGGGATATAGTTCGATATCACAGCGATAAGGTCCTTTGCTGATCAGTGATATAGTTCGATGTCACAGCGACAAGGTCCTTTACTGATCAGGGTCATAGTTCGATGTCACAGCGACAAGGTCCTTTAATGATCAGGGACATAGTTCGATGTCACAGCGACAAGGTCCTTTACTGCTCAGGGACATAGTTCGATGTCACAGCGACAAGGTCCTTTAATGATCAGGGACATAGTTCGATGTCACAGCGACAAGGTCCTTTACTGATCAGGGATATAGTTCGATGTCACAGCGACAGGGTCCTTGACATGAATTGGTGGCTTCTCGGGCTTGTACTCTCATATTATTACGATGTAATATTCAATACTTGATTCTTATTTATTTTGTGCTTTGTAGACAAAGGGCTTACTCGATAAGCTGCTGATTTATTCGATGATGACAAGACATGGAAGGCCTCTGAACAGCTTGGATCCGCCACTGTTTTTTTGTGGTGGTGCTGATAAAAATTTGTCTACGAAGTACTTAAATAATTCAATGTTACTGTCAATCACTAAATCAAAATTGTCTTTTTCTTTGATCAAATCAAGCATTGATTATGTCTCTCTAGGCACGCCTAGTTTTGTTTTTAGTCATTGAGTAATTGATTACTTTAATTCATCTACTTTTAGCCCCCCCCCCCCCCCCCCCCCCCCCCCCTAATAACCGCATTGTTTAACAACGAAACCTAAGCTATAAACTGCTTCATCTCCTCCAGAGAACCTGCAAATGCAACATTGAACAGCTTCGCTTTACAACTTAATTGTGAATCGTTGTGAAACATTAGCGGTTTCTGAGTGTCTGGACAAGTTTATAGCTAACAAACACTAACTCCTGTGTATCTGTACATATAAACCGGTCGTGAGGGGGCGGAAAACATCACGTTTTCGTTACTGTTTAGTTCCAAATTAAAGATATCTTCTTTCCTCCTGCAGTGTGTCTGTTTTTACAGCTTGCTGAATACCAACAGGTATTGTTCCTTTTCTGTAGCAAGACGCAGTCGTCCCTGACGAGTCATCAGTTGAAGATTTATCACGATTCCCCTGTTGGGCTGAAGGTGGGTTTGTCTCTTCTCAAAAACAAACATACATCATTTAGCCCTAGATATACCACACTTAATTCACTTATCACAATCTGGTATTGGGCAGTCTTTTTCACGATGTATGTATTACTATCCAAGAATCCCCGTTTTGCCCACCCACCCGAATTCATTTATTTATTATATGGAAAATGAAGGATGCCACATACGAAATGAAATCAACTTTGCGATTGTTTAATATTTTTTTTTTTAATAGCTTGACCCTTTCCCTATCCTATAATGCCCTTCTGTCAGCCCCAATAAGGAAAACCACCTTCATATATATATTCTATATAATCCACCAGTTTAGAAGTATGTCCCCTTGTCAAGCTTTGACAAGTCAAACCTTGATACCTTCATTTATATATACAGCCTGTTATTAAATGTTGTCGTTAACTCAATAAACCTAATTGACATTAACACTGTCTCCCTAAGTTGACTGTTCTACAGTCTATTAACATATTAAGGACAATGTTACCTATTATAGCTCCTATTATGTATATTTTGAATTTAACAAAATCCATATGTCTCCCACATTATGTTTGCTCATTAGGGCTTTCTAATTATGTTTTTTTTAATCGGAAAAAAATATTTATGATATCCAAACAGAAAAAAAGGTTCAATGTTTGGCTATAATTATTGATTATTTGGTATCAAATTAATACAGTGTATTTGTATGCTGAAAACTTCAAATGTTGAGTGTACAACATAGCTAGAGAACTGACTCATAGAGATTAGGACCCGATCACATGTTCACTTATTTTTGAAAAAGTGGTAATCCATCTAGAAACATGTAGAGTGCACACACGTCTGTCACTTACTGAGAGCCAGTCTGTCCAAGTGCTCAGCTCATGTACCATAGTGATGGTAATTAGCACCCTCTTCATCATCAATAGTCACCTAGAAATCATTGCACTGTAACAGTACCTAAGTGATGGCAATTCGCACCCTCCTCATCGTCAATAGTCACCTAGAAATCATTGCACTGTAACAGTACCTAAATGACGGTAATTAGCACCCTCTTCATCGTCAATAGTAATTTAATATCCTCAGCTAGAAATCATTGCACTGTAACAGTACCTAAGTGATGGCAATTAGCACCCTCCTCATCGTCAATAGTAATTTAATATCCTCACCTAGAAATCATTGCACTGTACCAGTACCTAAGTGACGGTAATTAGCACCCTCCTCATCGTCAATAGTAATTTAATATACTCAGCTAGAAATCATTGCACTGTAACAGTACCTAAGTGATGGCAATTAGCACCCTCCTCATCGTCAATAGTCACCTAGAAATCATTGCACTGTAACAGTACCTAAGTGATGGTAATTAGCACCCTCTTCATCATCAATAGTAATTTAATATCCTCACCTAGAAATCATTGCACTGTAACAGTACCTAAATGACGGTAATTAGCACCCTCTTCATCGTCAAAAGTAATTTAATATCCTCAGCTAGAAATCATTGCACTGTAACAGTACCTAAGTGACGGTAATTAGCTCCCTCTTCATCGTCAATAGTAATTTAATATACTCGCCTAGAAATCATTGCACTGTAACAGTACCTAAGTGATGGTAATTAGCACCCTCTTCATCGTCAATAGTAATTTAATATCCTCACCTAGAAATCATTGCACTGTAACAGTACCTAAGTGACGGTAACTAGCACCCTCTTCATCGTCAATAGTAATTTAATATACTCAGCTAGAAAATCATTGTACTGTAACAGTACCTAAGTGACGGTAACTAGCACCCTCTTCATCGTCAATAGTAATTTAATATACTCACCTAGAAATCATTGCACTGTAACAGTACCTAAGTGACGGTAATTAGCACCCTCTTCATCGTCAATAGAAATTTAATATCCTCACCTAGAAATCATTGCACTGTAACAGTACCTAAGTGATGGTTGTATTTTTTTGTCTGTTTAGGACATTGTTTTTGTGACAGTGGAGGAGGCTTGTTTACTGATTTCTGTGACAGTGGGGTAGGTTTGTGTACTGTTTTCTGTGGTAGTGGAGGAGGCTTGTGTACTGTTTTCTGTGACAGTGGGGGAGGCTTGTGTACTGTTTTCTGTGAAAGTGGGGTAGGCTTGTGTACTGTTTTCTGTGACAGTGGGGTAGGCTTGTGTACTGATTTCTGTGGTAGTGGAGGAGGGTTGTGTACTGTTTTCTGTGACTGTGGGGTAGGCTTGTGTACTGTTTTCTGTGGTAGTGGAGGAGGCTTGTGTACTGTTTTCAGTGACAGTGGAGTAGGCTTGTGTACTGTTTTCTGTGACTGTGGGGTAGGCTTGTGTACTGTTTTCTATGGTAGTGGAGGAGGCTTGTGTACTGTTTTCTGTGACAGTGGAGTAGGCTTGTGTACTGTTTTCTGTGGTAGTGGAGGAGGCTTGTGTACTGTTTTCTGTGACAGTGGGGTAGGCTTGTGTACTGATTTCTGTGACAGTGGAGGAGGCTTGTGTACCGTTTTCTGTGGTAGTGGAGGAGGCTTGTGTACTGTTTTCTGTGACAGTGGAGGAGGATTGTGTACTGTTTTCTGTGACAATGGGGTAGGCTTGTGACCGTTTTTCTGTGACAGTGGGGTATGCTTGTGTACTGTTTTCTTTGACTGTGGGGTAGGCTTGTGTACTGTTTTCTGTGACAGTGGGGTAGGTTTGTGTACTGATTTCTGTGACTGTGGGGTGGCCTTGTGTACTGTTTTCTGTGACAGTGGAGGAGGCTTGTGTACTGTTTTCTGTGACTGTGGGGTAGGTTTGTGTACTGTGTTCTGTGGTAGTGGAGTAGGCTTGTGTACTGTTTTCTGTGACTGTGGGGTAGGCTTGTGTACTGTTTTCTGTGGTAGTGGAGGAGGCTTGTGTACTGTTTTCAGTGGCAGTGGGGTAGGCTTGTGTACTGTTTTCTGTGACCGTGGGGTAGGCTTGTGTACTGTTTTCTGTGACAGTGGAGGAGGCTTGTGTACTGTTTTCTGTGGTAGTGGAGGAGGCTTGTGTACTGTTTTCAGTGGCAGTGGGGTAGGCTTGTGTACTGTTTTCTGTGACAGTGGGGTGGCCTTGTGTACTGATTTCTGTGACTGTGTAGTAGGCTTGTGTACTGTCAGTGACTGTGGTACAATGGTAATGTTTGGTACTCATCAGTCCTGCGTCTGTGACTGTTATGGCTTTTTCAAGTCACACAGCACAGTAAGACCTGGTACTTTGGTGCGTGACTGTTTTTTGTGACTTAGGTGTTAAGGGTCCAGTACTAATTTTTGTGACTATGGTATTGTTTGAGAGTACAGTTGGGTCCAGTACTTATTGGTGTGACTATGATGCTGTTTGAGAGTACAGTAGGGTCCAGTTTTTAGAGTACAGTATAGGTTCAGTACTAATTTGTGTGACTATGGTATTGTTTGAGAGTACAGTAGGGTCCAGTACTAATTTGTGTGACTATGGTGTTGTTTGAGAGTACAGTATGGTCCAGTAATTATTTGTGTGACAATGGTGTTGTTTGAGAGTACTGTCAGTAGGGTCCAGAACTAATTTGTGTGACTATAGTTTTGTTTGAGAGTACAGTAGGGTCCAGTACTAGTTTGTGTGACTATAGTATTGTTTGTGAGTACAGTAGGGTCCAGTACTCATTTGTGTCACTATAGTATTGTTTGAGAGTACAGTAGGGTACAGTACTTATTTGTGTGACTATAGTATTGTTTGAGAGTACAGTAGGGTACAGTACTTATTTGTGTGACTATAGTATTGTTTGAGAGGACAGTAGGGTCAAGTACTTATTTGTGTGACCATGGTGTTGTTTGAGAGTACAGTAGGGTCAAGTACTTATTTGTATGACCATGGTGTTGTTTGAGAGTACAGTAGAGTCCAGTACTAATTTGTGTGACTATAGTATTGTTTGAGAGGACAGTAGGGTCAAGTACTTATTTGTGTGACTATGGTGTAGTTTGAGAGTACAGTAGGGTCCAGTACTAATGTGTGTGACTATGGTGTTGTTTGAGAGTACAGAAGGGTCCAGTACTAATTTGTGTGACTATAGTATTGTTTGAGAGTACAGTAGGGTCAAGTACTTATTTGTATGACCATGGTGTTGTTTGAGAGTACAGTAGAGTCCAGTACCAATTTGTGTGACTATGGTATTGTTCGCGAGTACAGTAGGGTCCAGGACTAGTTTGTGTGACTATAGTATTGTTAGAGAGGACAGTAGGGTCCAATACTTATTTGTGTGACTATAGTATTGTTTGAGAGTACAGTAGGGTCCAGTACTCATTTGTGTGACTATAGTATTGTTTGAGAGTACAGTAGGGTCAAGTACTTATTTGTATGACCATGGTGTTGTTTGAGAGTACAGTAGGGTCCAGTAACAATTTGTGTGACTATGGTATTGTTTGAGAGAACAGTAGGGTCCAGTACTTATTTGTGTGACTATTGTATTGTTTGAGAGTACAGTAGGGGCCAGTTCTTATTTGTGTAACCATGGTGTTGTTTGAGAGTACAGTAGGGTCCAGTACTAGTTTGTGTGACTATAGTATTGTTAGAGAGTACAGTAGGGTCCAATACTTATTTGTGTGACTATGGTATTGTTTGAGAGTACAGTAGGGTCCAGTACTAGATTGTGTGACTATAGTATTGTTAGAGAGTACAGTAGGGTCCAATACTTATTTGTGTGACTATGGTATTGTTTGGGAGTACAGTAGGGTCCAGTACTTATTTGTGTGACTATGGTGTTGTTTGAGAGTACAGTCGGGTCCCGTACTAATTTGTGTGGCTATAGTATTGTTTGAGAGTACAGTAGGGTCCAGTACTAGTTTGTGTGACTATTGTATTGTTAGAGAGTACAGTAGGGTCCAATACTAATTTGTGTGACTATGGTA